AACTTCTCTGAATAGTGGACTACACATTTTAAGATGAACTAAATCTTTCCCTCTCCAGATTGCTTTTGCTCATGGTGTCCATTCCAGCCACAGAAACGCTTAGACAGGCAGCCCTCTCCCAGCTACACCTGTATGTGGACCATAATCAATGGGTTCTGACAGACACTGAAGCACCGCAGACCCTTTGCTGGGAAGAAAGACATTCTTCTCCTCAGTTCTCAGCATTCTGGAAATGAGAAATATTGCCGGAATATTGCTATCATCCTTGAATACAGTTTAATTGGCAGTAGGTTCAATCTCACTCCTTTCATATGGAACAGATTATTAATGAGCCTACAGAAATAAACTACAACAGAAGTATAAGGGTCTATGACCACACCATCCTGAATGTACCTGATCAGCATTATAAGTGGGGAGACAGGGATCTGAAGATGTCTGAACAAATGTATGATATAGACAGAAAAATAAAAAAAAATAACATGTTTCCACCAAGGTATTGCTGCATGGTAGACTTCTTTTAATTTCTATGTGAAATGTAGAATTCTCAGATACAGTTGTGAAAGGTTCTTAACATTCTCCTAAAAATATGTTAGTCTTGGGCAGTAAGAAAAAATAATATAATGCCTCATAAACAACTCTTGATTTGAATGTGGCTGTACTTTGAATATCTGGTTTTACCCTAGACATGGGAATATATGTCGAGTCACATAACATCACATCACATGGTTTATGAGTGATTTTAAGTCTAATGACACTGTTTATTTTGGAATCAGTCGCTTTTCCTGCAGTGGACAGGACTTCCAGACTCAACAAGGACACCAGTGACACATGAGCCAGAGACAGAGAGATGAAAAGGCTGCCTGTGAGAAAACAGTGAACTCAATGTGGGTGAAGATGTAAGACCTTACTAGAACCTTAAGATGTACTGTGCAATGATTCCACTTAGAAATAAAAATCCAGGAAAAAGCATGTAATCAGTAACTTGGATTACATGTTTATACATAAGAGATATTACCTTTAAAAATTAAATAACATATTTTTATGTGCTTTATAAAATATTACCTTATGTGTACACATAATATTTTTTAAAAATTGTAGCTGAAACAGTATAGTTAGATCCTCAGCCAAAAGGCATAAGTAGAATTTAGGCTGCCCTGTAAATGCTTCGATGAGAATTTTTTCTTCCTATTCAGGCTGTCTCTTACTGAGGAACTGATACTGGCATTGGTATCTATGCAGCTCACTGTAGGCTATGCAAGGGCACTGAGTGGACTAATTCTACAGGGAGTCATCAATGTCCTCCTAATCACCAATTATGTACCAGATGGTTAAATTCAGTTCATGCATGACCATGACAAGGTCAGCCCTAAAGACTGTCACCTCATCTCCTGGAGACCAGAAGATAGTTTTGCTTAAAAAATACAGGCAGATCAGGGTTTTTGTTATTGTTTTCCCTCTTTAAATTAGATTAATTTAAATTGGAATTACCAATTCTCCTGTCTCTCTTCCCAGCATAACATATAATTCTAATTCTTCTTTTTCTAAAATTGCACATTCCAGCGTGTAGTAGTTGGAGTTACTACACATTAGTCACCTTGTTCTGCCCCAGCAACTTGAAAAAGGGGAAGCCTAGGTAGGCCAATCTGTTACACTGTTGAAAAGGAGGCAGGTCATAGAAACTGGGAGTAATGTGTGTGTAGGTAGAAAGTAAGAGTATGACGTATGACAAATGGCCAAAAAGTGGCCAAAGCAGGTTTGCATTCACTCTCGGTAAGGCCCATAGGCCAGGGAGGACCTTATCTTAGTACCACACTGTTTATAAAGACTGAGGAGACACAACTCTTCAGATTCTGCTAAGCCATGTGACTGGCATTTCTTAGTTAAAATCCTCAATCGTGAAATGAACGATGACAGAGTCAACTTTCTAGGATGAAGCAACAACACATGGGCAATAGCTCTACATTTGAAAGCAAGAGTTCCCAGTATAGTTAGAATTATTGTTACCATTTGTAATCTACTTTGGTAATAATGAGTTCTTTAAAAATAAGGGACAGAGTAATCAACTAGAGCATTCAGTTGCCTTCCCTACCAAGAAGCTTCTAGATGACAAAGGTGCACCCTGAACAGATTGGATGGCAATGGTTTGGAAGCTGTTCCTCAAGCAGAGAGGAAGCACTGAAAACTGTTGGATGAGAATTCTGAACAGAGGAGGCAGAGAGAGAATTATCCACTCTAAGCTTGTGATACAATGCAAGTTGCAAAATCCACTTGCTTTGTCCATTACAGACAGTGCTTTGAGGAGGCAGACTGAAGATGGATATTATTGCAGGGAGTGGTAAGTAGGCAATGATACCAATAGAGGCCAGCACGGCTGCGCTTGGATGCTTCTATGACCACCACGATGGTAACTTCCTGTAGTACACACCTCAAAACAAGGCACGTGTGGTGCTTGAGCCCAGCTCAGAGGGATCTGTAGGCTTCAGCAGAGTCACTCTCACTAGCTGGCAAATCAGCAATGGCAAATAAAAGCCTTTTGTCTTTCCTACGCCACAGAAATTTTAAGAGTTGTTTGATATTTGGCAACACATAATGGACGGAAAATTTTTTACAACAAACATTTGAAGAATGAAGATGCCAAAACTACATACTGTAGACTGTGCAACAACATTAGTAAAATGACCTCACTAGAAGCTAGCTAATCCAACAAAACAGCCTGCCGTCAAGGAACCATTAATAAAAGAGGTTCAAATCTATTTATCATACATGGTATCTATGGGGGAAAAAAGAATATAAGAGACATTCACTGTAATTATTACTGTTGGAAAGATTAACTGTGCCCTTCCAGAGGGAAATATGAACATTTTCTAAGAACTCAGACTGTACAGACAAACTGTTTCGAGATGTTTTTCAACAAAACCTAAATAAATCCACTCTGCCAAGGATAAGTCTCAGACAGAGCAAGAAGCGCTTTAATCAAATTCAGGTGAAATCACCTTTTCAAGTCCTCAAAGAGGTATTGTCTAGACTATATCAGCGAGTCCCACAATGCAAGTGTTCACGCTTCTATTCCAACAACTCAAAGTGCCAGAGAACCAAGTACATAAAAACCTGGAAACTGCCTACAACTATACAGTCTCGTACCTGCTCCAACACAGGAGGAGGTGTCAGAGGGTGGGATCTCCTGGAAAAGGAGGCCACGGTGGAAAGTGGAACACGTCTACAGGCTTCCGGAATATTACAATAATCTTGATTGCTACTGGATAGAGCATATCAATCAATCTCTCACTTCCATGAATCATATTTTATTTCCAGATACAAAGTATGCCTAGGAGAGAGAGGACAAGCACACTGACAGGCCTCTGGAGGTGACTCCACTATGTGGTGAGGTCTGAAGAGAACAGCGTCACCTTTGAACCATACAGCAACTCAAAGAGTGAGGACAAATATCATGATTTCACATAATGCTCACATTTATTTTATGTTCCATGTAGTAAAAACCCCTAAAGGCCATTACTTGCAGCATGGTAGAATAATGGAGACATGCCTGTCTGGGGTATGCAATCTCTGTTAACCTGACAGATCACTTTTGTAATGCTGCTTCTTCCCGACCATCACAACCCTCTGCCAGCAGCTTCAATGTTACTCTCAGTTCTATTGACTACTAATTCTGCTTTTTTCAAAACTCAGGATATTTGTCAAAATAGTGGTGGGACTATTTAAGAAAAAGCAATACAAATTATAATAGCTGAAAAATGAGAATTAGGAGAAAGTATTGATGAGCTATTAGATGGCTCTAATGGTGTATTTCAGGTTTCTTTTTTTTTCTGTTTTGTTTTGTTTTCCCCAAGATAGATGGTGACCTATAAAGCTAAAGCCAGGACCAATCAGTGGTAGTAATTTTCACAATGTTCTCTATATAGTTAAAAGCCTGTGGGTGTAAGGCAATGAGGTATGTGTCTATTAGGAGAGGAGTGTTTTGGAAGTGACAAAAGTACACTCCATCCCCAAATAAGAGAAATCAATTGCCTGGAAGACAAAAAGTCTGCCACTGGTCCACAGAAAACAAGGTTGCTAGGTCACAACACATTCTCCAGTTCTGTGTTTTCCTGCTCATTTCCCCAGAATCAGTGTAGAGCAAAACAGATGGAAATGCAGAAACGCTTGAACAGCCTGCCACTCTCTGTTGGCAATTCTGACGAAAAGCAGTTGGTAAGTTTCTGGGCGGGTTAGGTTTTGACTCATCCCTATCATCGGTTAGTAGAAGAAAAGAAGGGCCCAGATTTATATTTTACATAAGCCAAAAATGTGACCAGAACAGAAGGGCCCTCCCTTCCAAGCCAAAGTTAAAATGAGTGGTTTAAGGAAATCAGGGACTCACTCAACTGCCCACAGTGCTGAGCTGGGCCCAGCTGAGAAAGGAAGGGGAGCAAATAGAGAAAAGAGCCCCCTCCCCCCCAGCTTCTGAAACTCTGGAATTTAGTGGACATGCATCCAAGAGAAAGGACAAAGTAACAGATGGTATAAATTAACTCGGAGCATGCTTCCCTAGGATTGCCACACAGAAGTAGATGAAAAGCAAGGCAAGCCTGGACAGCTGCAATGAACCACAGGCCAGCAAACGCCTGTCTTAAAGGACTTGAGTGACGGCTGGTCAAGGACCAGGAAGAATGGAAGACACGGTAAAGCACTGAATGTCATTAAAGGCAACCACATATTTCACAAGACCAAAGAAATAATGCATAGAAATGTTACAAGACAAGGAGTCCTTCTAGGATAAAAATACACATGGTCAAAGTTATATGTGTGTGGGATGGGCTGGTGAGGCTAAAGGAAGCACTGGCAGGCTCTGCTTCACAGCTGTGCCACTCATGGCCAGCACAGAGGGTGTCAACGAAGGTCACTGCCAGACTGGGCATCTTTCCAGTTAGCACAAATTAGTGCACTGGAGGCCAGCAGGCACCACCAGATTCCAAGCCACCACACCATAAACAGACACTAAGCCAAGCAGTCAAAATGCTTTAATCACTTCACCAATAATTGAGTAGAACCAAATTTATGGTCTGAATTTCAAGACAATGAAGCAGGTGGCAATAAGTGTATTTTTTTCAGTTCTCTGCTATAAGCTATTTCCATTTTGCTTTATTCAAAATATTTGCACTTCCAATTTTAGAGTCCTGCTTCATTCCCATTCGATTAACTACACTGAGATATTCATATTTTCTTGACTGTTTTCATAATGCTCATTTTATTAAAGATCTACAAGAAAATGTCCTGTATTTAAAGTCTCCTTCCTAGAGTCTTCTTAAGTATGAGATCAGCCAAAGGGCCTCATCCTGAGAATTGAAAGTGAGTTTCCAGACATCACCTTCCTGATTCTGCCCATCCTGAAGATGCAATGGAGTGAGCATCTGGGTGCTTGAGACATCTTGACACTGCTCAGATAGACTACTTTGTGTGTTCAAGGGAAGTCCGTGCTTGCTTAGGAAGACCAGCTCTACTGTTGACACTTTTTTCTTCTCTGGAACAATGACACATCGGAACTCACTCAGAGCTCGGCATCTGATCACATCAAATCGTCCATGGGGAGGAAGTGTGTTTAGAGAGTGAGTGTGGGGGTAAAACACACGGTCCTCCCTCAAGAGTGCCATGTGGGTGTTCACAAGGATGAACGATAGGCAGGGGGTGCAACTGGCTTCACTCTCCAATCTGACTGTGGTATAGAGCAGTAGCTGAACTTCAGACAGAGACGGAATGCTGGCCTCCATATTTCCATGAAGAAAGTAAACCATATCAACCAAGGTGTTCTGGAAATTGGAAGACAACTGAACTCCATTTGCCAAAGCTAGAGAAGGGATTTCTGCTTTCAAATCAAGAGAGAGCTGAACCAGATCCTGCTGCAGCAAAGGGTGACTTGTGGGGGCAGCATCTTCAGACCCGGGCATCAACACACCCAAGAGGTCCTGACATAGTTGTTGAGAGAGGCTTTTGTTGTAAGTGAGCACAGTAAGCAAGAAGTCCTGTGTGGAGCCCAGGAATCGAATGCTTTGCCCACCAAAGCCGACCTGAATCTCCTGCAGTGCAGACAGAGGGAGAACATGAAAGATGCTCATGGAATCTGGGCAATTATCTAACAGGACTATAGCATATAAAGTTGAGGGTAGCAGGAGCAAGCACGCAGCCTGGGGCTCAGGTTGGGTGCAGTTAGCAACAGCAAGCCAGTAAATGCCTTTGACAGCCTTTCCTCTGCCCAAAGGCTCTGGCAGAGAACAAGACATGTGCTCAAGGAGCTCTGTGAGAGGGTACTCTTGAAGCTTCCGCATTTGCTCTGGGAATGATACAAGGGTCTGCTTAAATGCAGTGATTTTCCCAGCATCTTCATAATCAAGACAGAAAACTGAATTTGGCCAGGAATTTGGTGAGCCTGTAGATGTGAAGGTTAAGTCTGTGGAAGGCGCTGTGCTCTTGGCAGACCTTGGGCTCCCTTCTTCACTGTTAAGGCTGCCAATCTGAGTTTCGGGAAGAGGAGGAGGATCTGACAGCATCATGAGTGACCTCACAGGCAGGGGAAGGGGTAAGTGCTCCAACAGTGGCAGGCCTCTTATGAAAGTTGTCACTTGGGAAGCCAGTCCACCTGAGTCACACACACTCCCTACATGCTTGGCTTGGCTCATTACTTTCGTCCCAGCCTGTATCAGGTGACCACTGGTGTCTTTATACAGGTCTGAGAGCTTGTGGTAAAAATATCCCAGTCCTTTCTGTGCTTCTGTCCTGATATTGACTAGCGGAGCGAGAAAGCGAGTGTTTTCAGCATCTAACTCTTTCTCATTTTGCTGCTCACCACACAATGTGGAGGCTGACGCGCTCTGAGGAGAGCTGCCAGTGGGATGCTCCTCTTGAGAAATGCTTTCAGAGAGAACAAAGCACTGCACCCTGCTTTGCACCGCTGGCTGGCTTCCTCTGCCTATTGGTGCTAGCTGGGACATGTGTTGCAGCAGTGTCCAGCTGGACCTGATTCCCCAGCTTTGTTTCTCTTCATGAGTCATCAGCCCACTGCCATTTTCTGATTCACTCTGAAAATTCTCAGCATCCCTAGTGTGGATTTCATTACCGAAAGTGATTTCAGGCAGATGAACACGTTTTGGCTCAGGCTCTGGGAATAGAACCATTCTCTCTTGGGAGGCCATGAAGAGCGATGTGGTGGTCTGGGACATAGGATGGCTCCAGTGCCTGCTCAGATCCACCTGACTCTCTTCTTCTCTATGGATGCTGGAAGACTCAGTATCATCTTTGGGCAGAAGTGGGATAACACACCGTGCAGACCATGGCTGTCTTTTCTGTTTAGGATGTCAAAAGAAGTTGAAATGGGGTTTGATTCTGGGATTCTTTTGCACATCGTGAGTCTCGCATCCATTGGTTTCATTGGAGTGCATTAATTGAGAGGTGAGATAGAAAGCCTAAGTCATTTGTGCTGATTGATAGATGATTTAAGAACAGATGATTGATTTATATATAGAGCATCAATTCCATCTTACACAGTCTAACAGATCAGTAGAAACACACGGTTTAGGATTTTCCACAGTATCCATTTCTTGGTCTGTGATTGCATTTTCTCCAAGGTACATCCCGAGACTTCTGATTCATTGTTTAAAAGGTCACAGTTAGCTGTATGACCATATTGCAAACATGCATATCTCTTTTTTTGGTTTATTTCATGTAAGTCTTTAATCATCTTCTCCCTAATTAGAAGACCATTGCTGATACCTGTAAACCTTCACTAAGGAAAACTTGCTGCATGCTTATTTGTCGGGTGCCATGGAAACAAAGAAATAAAAGGCAGCTTCTTATTCGCCCACAGGTACCCACTAGAAAGATGTCCAAAGGAGGTTAACGTCATTGCTGGATGACTACCAGGGGAAATGGGTGTGGTACCAGTGAGTCAAGAAACTATGAACACACACCCCTTTCTCCCTGCTCAGTAATGGACAGTAGATATGGTTGGCAGATTTCTATCACCTAGCAATAAACAAAACAGTATTTGGGCTATATGAGAATGGCATTCTCCTTGGCAGAAGAAAACAGAAGTGAATTCTTACCAACTATAGGTTCTAATAGCATCTGTCTACCAGAGAGACAAAACAATTGATCAAAGGTTTCCTTTGTACCACTGCCAACTATATATCTACAAAATGAACAGGATTAACAAAAAACACAGAAGCTTTCAGTTTCATTTCCACCGCCCCCTTATATCTGATCTTGATTATATAATTCTGCCTTTTAAATGCAGACCAAGAGAAAGGATACTGTTGCTAATGAGAAACCGGGCACAGATACAGGGCATCCAAATAAAGCCAAAGAATTTTCAGACCTGCAGGATTCCCTTTAATTTTATGTCTATAAAATAGTTTGCCTTCTCTATTAGCCATTAATCTCACTGGAACTTCAAAATTCTAATTATGCAACTAAACATTAAGAAAATTAATCACACAAGCATGCCATAATTTAAACAACCTTATCAATCTGAAAAATCACTACTTACCTCGTATTTTAGCTTACGTTGAGTGGCGCCATTGTGAAGTTCCTCATTACTCTGAAAAGAAGAGAAAAGCCTTCTGTATTAATTATAGCATGCTCATAAAGGGGAGAAAAACCTGATTCCATTACAAGTATTTATGAGAACAAAATTCTAAAGAAACATACCTGCCATTCAAAAATGACAACCATTCTTCAGGATTTACATTCACAAAGTAAACAAGTCTCTTATTGATTTATTTGCAGGACAGAGAATTAAACCACTAACTTTTAATGTTAAGTTTAAAAAGTAAACTTACAATCAAGATCTCCTTGATTGCAAGGTATGAAATTTAGTACCACAGTGCCTCAAAAACAAAAACAAAAAAATCGACAAAGCTACACATCACAGACAGATCCTATATGACTCAGGTATACTGCTTCTGAGACTATATCCAAAGTACTCAGTCTTCAGGGATCAGAGAAACCCACATGGCCATGTTTATGCAGCACTATTTATAATAGGCAAGTTAGGAACTCAGAGACGTGCCCATCAATGTGTAAATGGATAAAGAAAATGTGAAATGTGATGTGATGTGATATGTGTGTGTGTGTGTGTGTGTGTGTGTGTGTGTGTGTGCCTAGACAGAGATTTTGCAATGGCGTTTCATTCGGCCATAAAGAAGAGCAAAACTGTGTTAGTTACAAAGAAATGGATATAATGGATCATCACATTATACAAAACAATCCAGATTCACAAAAGAGGTATCAAAACTTTTTTCTCAAATGAGCAATTCAAAAAAAATAAACACAAAATGAAGACTAAGCCCTATCAAGATATGAAAACAGAAGAAATACAAAATTAAAGATGCGGATAGAAATCAAGGGGAAGGGGATGAAAAAGGATGATGCTGTAATGTATAAAATTATCTTGTATATATGGACAAAAGTATCACAAAAACGATTACTTTGTAAAATTTATATATGCTAATACAAAAGACATGAACTGTCATTTGATAAATAGCAACTTACAAAAGTATACATTTCAAGAAGGAAAGTATATGTCTACTTGGAATAATTTACAAAGTAAATTATGTATTATAGAAATTGGTTTTATTTGGAGAGAAAACAGAAAACGTTACATGTAGAAATTTTAGAAATCAAAGCAAATAAAAAATGTTAAGAACCTTAATATGTGTATTTAATAAATGTTTCCTCAGAATTATAAAACTTTAAAATAAGATACTCTTCAATTAATTTTATCTGAAAACTATTCAGAGCCATCCAATTGATACTTTGTGCTTTTTCTGGAACATTCCATGTCTGAATGTTCATTAAGCAGCAGTAATGACCATACAACCTGGCTCTGTTAGCTCACCTTCATCACATCAGCAGGTGCATGGCTGGCATCACCAATCGCTCTGTGCAAATCATGAAGGCGTCTTTGGACTTCTTCCTCTATGTATGCACTGATCCTGAAAACCATGAAAATGTGACAGTTTTGAATATATCTAACTGGTATACACAGTCACTATGTATGCTTTCAAGATGCCCCATATACTAGGGGTCATTTCATTCCTAAGGCTATATACGTGCATATATAATGGAACTAGAGATTATTATGTTAAGTCAAACAGCCTAGACTCTGAAAGAGAAGTATCAGGTCTTTTCTCTCATGTGTGCTATTTGGAAAAACTGAAAACAAAAAGCAAGCCCTATTAGGACTTGAAAATCCTAATATTTGTTTTATTTATTATATATATATATGAAAATTTGGGATTTCAAACTATTTTCTTTTTTCTAAGAAGTCTGGTACTATGCATTCACTCTCTGGATTTTCCCCAAGTGAGGACAGGATTGCATAAATAAGTAAGAGGAAATTCAAAATGAATGGAGAGTAGGTTTTTCCACTGAAACCCTCCCTGGAGCTTATCATCAATAGCATATTCAGGGTAAAGGCAAATCACAGCCATGGAATCAGAGGCCTGTGTTTATAGATCCCACTGTAAGACAGACCACGGGGTCTCCTCTTTCAGAACAGGAAAACATCAATGATAGTTATTTCTTAAGCACAAGGCCATTTATGATGATCACTAAAAATTGAAAAGAGGTGGAAGAATACTCTAAGGATATTGACTTCATCTAGAACAGTGTCTTTCACGCTTTTGGTCTATCTTGTAATTCTAACTAGGTTATCTACATGTGGCCATTGAGACCACATCTGAAAGTAATGCAATGTGGATTGTTTGGCAAGGGGCCACAAGAGAAAAGAAGTCAGAAACTATTGACTTATAAAATGGGTGTCAATGAATATCTAGTGTCTCAAAGGAAGTATCTGAATCTGTATAAAATTTCCACATCACTTTTGACCATCAAAGTGGTGTTCAGTGCAGTCTCTGATCGGTCAGATTTAGTCCAGCAGAAGAAACAGAGTCAAGAGGAATAATAGGATACAAGAGATCTGATAAGGAAAGTGGGAACACAGCGGGCAGTGGCTCTTCAGGCAAAGTGAAGGGAGGTAACTTCAGAAGGAGGTAGGTAGGTAAAATAACAAGGATGTCTGAAAAAGGCCAGCATAATCATACTATTAACTATTTACCCAAAACAAACATGTAATAATCTAACTCTATGTGTGCATATAATTAATTACATATAATTAATATAACATTATATATATATATAAATTATAATTATATAACTCCTCTCATCTCAGCTATTAGAGCGCCTGCCAAGAGCCAAGACCACCTAACAAAAACACCAACACCAAACATGAGAGTCCACATCTCAGTTATTAGCCATGGATGTCCAAGAGACTCCAAAAACATACAGACAACTGCTGTTGTACTTGGTTGCCCCCTAGAGATTGAAGGTACGTCCCTATTGCTGAAGACCCCATGTACTTCTGAAACAGATCCCAGAGACCCCTGAGCTGGAACTTTCCTGAATGCCTCCTCCTGTAAACTAGCTTTCATGGCATTAGAAGGTGCCACATAAACTTCCAAAGAAAGGAGGCAAGCAATATACTCAGCTATGATACCTATGAAGCATTGTGATCATTTGGCATTATAATATATCCCTAAGGGTGCAGTAGTGGCACACATACCTTGGGAGGTAACTAATAGCTATATAATTAGACTTAAGACTCATTCAAGAAAAACAAAATTATGCCTGGTACTGGAAACCTAGCTAACAACCTAGTGCTAGTGAAATCATGATTATTATAGAAAAATCTACAACCACTAATTTACTAAACTATCATAATCCCTAATTACATTCTAAATATTTGTCATTATACCCATATCTAAGTGTAGTCTTTACCTCATCAAGGAAACTTCTCTTTGCAACAGATGGAGACAGCTATAAAAACGTATAATCAGTCAAAATTCAGAGATATTGGCCTTGCCCTGTAGTCAGATTGATTACTATCTTAAATGTAACCATAGAACCTTCATCCAGCAACTGAAGGAAGCAGAGGCAGAGAGCCACAGAGTTTCCAACGTTCAGTCGAAGAGTGAGAGGAGTGAGAATATGAGAAAAGAGGTCAAGACTAGGATGGAGACCGCTTACCTGAGCTAGTGGGAGCTCACCGACTCTGACCAGACAGGGAAGGAACCAGCATACAACCAAACTAGGCCCTTGGAATGAGGGTGACAGTTTTATGGCTGAGGCAGACTGTGGGGACACTGGCAGTGGGACCAGGATTTATCCCTACTGTTTGTACTGGCTTTGGGAACCTATTCTCTTTGGACAGATACCTTGTTCAGCCTAGATATAGTAGGGAAGACCTTGGTCCTTCCTCAACGCAATGTGCTTTACCCTCTCTGAGGAGTGGATGGGGTGTGGGGTGGGTATGGGGAGTAGAGGGAATGGGAGGAGAGGAGGGAGTCAGAACTGGAATCAGTATGTAAAATGAAAATGCAAAAAATGAAATTCAGAATTATGGAGCCCATTTCCAATAGATACATCTACAAAACACTACTGCAGCTAAGGCTCAGGGAACATTTTGGAAGAGGTGGATACAAAGACTGTAATAGCCGGAGGATCAGGGAGTTGGTGTGAGATTGTGTCTCCTGGTAACATGAGAACACACATGAAATCTCGCCAACTTGACTGCCCAAACATGAGCTAAGCAAGGATGACACCAACAGACATGCCGAAGTGGATGGGGAAAAGTCTATGAGGCTTCAACCCTACACAAGGAACTACAGGCCCCTAAGGAAAGCTGGAAGACGGAGAGTCTTCCCCAGAAAACAGCATACCAATTTGCTGTTGAGTACCAAATGGTTAGCCCGAAAAACATACATGCAAGTAACATTATAAAGACCAAACAGGTTATATTTAGGAATATATATGTATATGCATTTATGCATACAATAACAATTAGTGAAAAAGAGGCTATGAATTTGAAGGAGAACAGGGAGGTATATATGGGAGGGCTTGGAGGGAGGAAGTTAAGAGAGACATATTGTAATTACCATATAAATTACAGTAGCTCAGACTGTCCAAAGCAATCATCACTTAAGTATAGAATAGTATTCTCCAATTCCACAGCTGCGTCCTTCCCTTCCTTCCCTTCTCATTCATTCATTCATTCATTCATTCATTCATCTGTGTATGTGGATGAATGTCTATAAATGTACATGTGTGAGTGGATGCACATGTGGTAGAGGACAGAGGAAAACCTTGGATGTTGTTATTTCTCAGGTGTTGTTCATTCTTTGTTTTTGAGAAAGGATCATTTACTTCACAAGTAGGGATCCACTTGTGTCTGTCTCCCTGGGAGTTGGGATTACAAATGATTCAATACACCTGGCTTTCTTTTTGTTTTTACTTTTAACATGGGTCCCAGGATCTTTGATCTGCAGCCTATAAGTCAATCATTTTACCAACTAAGTTATCTCCCCTGCATTAGATGGATTATTTTAAATTATTTCCAAGTTTATGCCTTAATACATTAAGTAAATAAGTATTTGTAAATATTTTCAAAATCCTACCAGTGATTTGTACTACTGACCAACAGAAAAATGCTTTTCTAAAATACTGGGTAAATATATTAATATTTTAGTAGAGTAGCCCAAATAAAAGGCAATATGTGCTTTTCAGTGTTGAAACTAAAATCATGCATAACTGGCCACGAGCCAAGGTGATTTACAGATGACCTCCCTAATCTTATGGCCATTTTTAAACTGGTCCATGTAAAACATGGACCTATACTAAGACGCTCATGCCATTCTGTACCCATTTTGATAACGAAACACTGACCTCCTAAATCTAGACTGCAAGGCTGCCCATTTAGATGCTTCCCCCATGGAAAAATTCAGTTAATTCTCTGACCTAGTTCTTCCAACCTGGCCTCTGCATCACTCTGTTCTGGATGAGTTGGTTTCTCTGCACCTTTTAATTCTACCATCTCACACAAACTATTTGAAGCATGATGCTTTGGATTTGGCTGACCGGTTCTTAGGTCCTTGATTCTCTTCCCACTATCATTCACCCAGCCACAGGCCAGGCAGCAGCTGACAAAGACAGAGGACATCTCAAGCATAGTACTACTAACTACTACTGCGTCTGATAAATCCCTCCACAGGTAAACTAGACAACACAGGTACAATAAGTCATTACATGGAAACACAGCAAAGCATGGCACCAGCTGAGTGTTGAGTACCTGGCGTCCATCAGTGGAGCCAGATGGGAGTTTTCAGCACTGGGTGGCAAGCTGGGAAGAGAAGCTTTTCCCTCTGAGGTCCCATGATGAGGTCTTTGAACACCATCTACCTCACAGATCTTCTGTTTCAGCTGGTGGAGTTCATGTTCTAACCTAAAAAGATATGAACCACATAACTCCATTAATTCATGTAATAGTATTACATGAATACATTCTCTGTAGGGAGCTATTCTAAAAACCCCAGGGAAGCCAGAAAAAATTCTAGTGCAAGAAGTTTTCCCTTCTAGTAGAAAAGGAGTCAACGACAGAAAAAGGAACAAGGGGAAAATGAGCCATGAGAAGGGTACAGGACAAGAGTTGCAGGCATCCAAGGCTTAGACTTCCTGGTCACCAAGGACAAAGGCACTTCTGCTGTGTTGTAAGCAAGTTCTTAAAGGTGCTGTCCAGGATTTTGAATCCCTTAAACCTTGAGTCAACAGAGATGGTTGTGGACTACATATCCATCCAAATTCTGTTATACACTTCTGCTTGACATGAAGTTCTGGGCTAAGTCTTCAAAGGTTACTAGAATTATGGGCATTTGGAGATGACAACAGAAGATGATCCTAAGACAGAAACCCATCAGGGCAAAGAGACAGATCTAGAAAATAGAGTTACATGAGCAATTAAAATGAGTCACAAATTGTGAAACCAAAAAGCATTATTGCAGATGACAGCTGGTATATACTTTAAGCTCTGCATTGTGTGAAAATTCAGGTGGACCTGACTCCTGAACAATCAGGCTGAAGGGCCAGGCTCACGGACACATTTAATCCAAGGAACAGAAGACACAGCAGCTGATAAGCACAGCCCACTCGGCATGGCGTGTGAATACAGACAGGCATTGGACTTGGATTTCTACTGCAGGGATCACATGCATTCAACTAATCTCTCTCACTTTCTTAATCCCTCCAAATCAGAGATGCTAGTATCAAAAGCTGACACTTCTTGATGCTGCCAAGCCTCTGGTGCCACCATCAGTAACTTGACTGTTTCATCCTCTGCTAGATAGCAAGTTGAAGGCCAGTAAAGGTTACGTAAGACCGTACCTCAAAAATACCACCACCTATGACAAATAAGAATGGTGAAAGGGACCACATGGATGGCAAAGGACCAGGGACTGCTTTAAACAGGGTCTCAACAATGGCAAGCAGAATGCAAGCAGAACACGGCAATATTCATAATCTTCTGATGCCTGCTGGGTTTTCTCATGGCATTCTCCCAGGCTAAACTGTTAGAAAATCTGTACTGAGGTTACCTAGCGTGGACATTTGATTGGGACCCTAAATATGCAGTGAGATTTATATATATAGTGGGGCTCAAAAAGAACAGTACCTGAAACACACGCTATGTGAAGTACTATCCTGTCTATATTTCAGCCACATTACCAGTCCACTAACAGCTAGGAGAGAAACAGACCCAGACCAAGCCCCTAATCTGCCTCTTCTTGCATGCTACTGGTACCCACTAGTAACATAACCATTACAGGTTCAAGTCTCCAATTTTCTGCCTGGGGGTGATGTCTCTTCTTCATGGGAAAACTCAGGGACAACAGACACATGACATTTTAAACATATTTTGAGTTACATGGGATTAGTCCTCATTGGGGCCATCATGACTATGATTGTCATCATCATCATTGTTGAGGACTCTAATAACAGAGTTGACTAAACTCTGAGTATTAGCTGTTTTCATCGTATCTTTCCTATGGTGACAAGAGGGCTTCTTAGTGGAGCAGCCTGATGCATGCCACTGGGGCAGCTGGAATGAGCAATGGAAAGGAAGGCTGCGGCCTAGCGTAAGCAGTTCATATGGCATCAAGGAACCACTGTAAAAACACGTTCAGTGCAGTGCTGTCCCATCTGGTGCCATGTGGTTTCAATGTTTCAGTTTGTCAGTTCCACAAGGGGCCAAGACAGGCTCCACAGCCAGTCCTGGCTTACCTGTGAGAAGGCAGAAAGAAAATAACATGTAGCAAAATATATCTGTAGAAAGCTGCTGAAGCCTTGAAGCAAAGTACCCAGAATTCATCAGCCTGAATTAGATATTGGTAAAGACTATGTCCTCAGAACTCATGAAGCTAAGTGCCTCCTTGAGAGGTTTTCGAACTGCTGACACCAAGGAATCACTTCCATGGAAATTTCAAGACCATGTCTGTTATTACAGAGTATTAATACTAAATGGCTAGTTGAAAAAAGTCAGGGACATCAAGCTAAAGGCTTGGGCTGCTTCTTACTGTACACTGCAGGATACAAATTGAGAGCATGCCCTCCACCACTTTAAATTTCCTGGGGCTAGAGCTTTGTCCAGCAATTTCATTTACATAACATACCTGCAATCATTTTCTTAAACCTCTGACCTACTTCTCTGAAATAATAACATTATGGTTTTGATTGTTATTTTATTTTTGTTTTGCCTGAAGGAAGTACCAGAGAGTGACTGTAAATGGAATCCATAGGATAAGCAGATCACTTAAAAGGAAGCAGTCTTGACCTTCTCAGGAAAATGATGGGTAACAGATACAGTTAACACACTGAGAAGGTCTTCCCTTGTCTCGCAACTGTACTGATGCCTCTGCCAAATACTAGTTTGGGTCTTAAGGCTAATAGAAAGAGCACTGCTGATTATGGGTGGGATAAGACAGAGCTCCAAGTCCTCCCACTTGGGCTTCAGTTAAGAACTATAAACAGAGGCATGGCATGGTGGTACATGGCTTTAATCCCAACACTCCAGAATCAGAGTCAGGCAGATCTTCATGAGTTAGAGGACATGGGTATTAAGTTCAGTCAGACATACACAGTGATAGACAGTCTTTTAAAACAAACAAACAACAATAACCTACAAACAGGAGTTCGCTGGAAAAGCCATATCTATGTTGAAGATTCTGCAGTCTGATTGACTAAATAGACTTATTAGCAATTATGAACAGCTGGAATTTTACAGATGGAGAGCAAAAGTAATTTTGGGCAGTCATTATATCTGTTAACAGTCACTTATCAGTTATATGTATCATATCTAACCCAATGACTTTTTAATCCTTGGAATGTTTTCCTAAACTTGACATGGCTAGCCTCCACCAATCCAATGGCTAACTATATTTCAGATAACAGCTAAAACCTACTGTTGAGATTTTCTTCTTAATCTATGGAATCCACTGATGTCTTCATCAATGCATTTGGTAAATGCATGATTTATGACTTTGATTTGTTAGAGAGAAGTTCATATGACTACTTCAGAGTGGGTCATATCACTCAAGACAAGTAAAATCTCTGTTCCCTGGCTGTAGTTTGGCTCAGTGTAAATGATCTCTTAATCCCTCTAGAGCAAGAAGAGCTTTGCTTTGTGTTGATAACTCAGCTGACCAGTGTACGGAGCTGAAAGGAAAAAGCCCTAAGTGGTCAAGGACATCCAGGCAGTAAGAGACAAGTCAACCAGCACGTCTCCACTTTGCAAACTGGTTATGTTCACACACAAGTGGCTTTAACCTCTCTGGGAGTCTTAGCATCACTGCAGGGCACCAGAAAAGATGCTCCTAGAGTTCTATATTTACTTATTTCAGAGTCTACCCCTGGTAATAATGGCAATAGAATAGAAAGATAACTATTTTTTCTTTACCTTGTCAAGAGAGATTGTTTCCCAGTTTTCTTTCTAAAATGTTGACTTTAAGGGTGGGACATCCACCTGATTTTAGTAGGAACCAGATTGGCATTCACAGTGCATGAACTCTGGGGAAAGGACTTCAATGAGGCCAGTGCTGCTCACAGAGAAGATGTGAAATTCTGGTGAAGGAGGACAGGGGTGGGAGAGAGAAAGACATGGGGCGGTGAGAAGGCAAGGACAGGGATGAGAAGGGAACATGGAGGGAGGGAGGTGGAAGTGAGGCAGGGATAAGAGAGAAATAAAGGGTGGGAACCTAGGTTGAAACTCACCCAGTTTCTGCCCTTGTCAAACCACTAGAACACACACATTCCACAGGTCAGTGTATTTGTCTCAATTTTAAGTCAATGATTCTAAAACAAGTATCCTACGGACAAACAAATAAAAATTTTTAGGGGTCCTTTTATTAGGTTGAATTTTGTTTTGGTTTTTGTTTGTTTGTTTGTTTTGGTTCTGAAATCCTTTAGCCTATTTATTAGAGTGCATAAAGCCTACAGTGAGAAGCCACAGAGGCAGAAAATAAGCAATCACATAGGCCTACCCCATGCTTCACTCCCTCTGCCTTAACCTTACCTTGCAGGGCCCTTCTCAGGGTCCTCTTGTTTGGCCTCCAGACTGGCCTGCAGCCCTGAATGCTTGGTGCTGTGGAGAGAGCTAAGTTTATGCCCCTGCTCCTGGACCTCCAGATCCAGGGAGGAGCACCTCTGTAGGGCAGAGTGCCTCTGCTCTAGCTTGGCCACAGCCTGCTCCAATGCTTCTCTCTGCTGATTCTCCTGGGACTCCAGAATCTCCTTTTCCTTTTCTCTCATGTTCTCTTCCTGTCTGGCGACATTAGCTGTGAATTGGAAGGCGGTGTGGAGCTGCTGCAGCTGGCTAGCATTAGCCTGGTACTCTGCAACTGGCTCTTCATTTTTTTCCAGTTCCCTCTCTACTTGGTAGAGAGTATTATCTAGGCCCAGGGTGCCCCTGTCAAGGATGTCAAGAGCTCTCTGCTTTTCTTCCAAGAGAGCTGGCAAATGATTCTGCAGAAGATCCCATAGCTGGCGCTCTTTGCTTTGTAGCCTGGACTGTGCAGTCTTTATTTTCTCTAGAACTTCAGGCCGGTAAGGGATGCTACTGTTATCTGTTACCAACAAGCTAGCTTCCTCGTGGGCTTTAAATCTTACACGCTCCAGGGCTTCCTGCTCTTCTTGGACTTCTTTGCTTAGAAGGTCTTTCTGTTGGACTAGGTCCTTCTCCAGGTTTGCTAGCTTGACAAGTTGCCTTCTCTTGAACTCTGAGGAGTACAGCTGAGCCCTTCCTAGTTCATCCTCGCAGGTGTGATTCCCTCGTGCTCCAGCCTCTTTGGCCCGCAAGAGGACTTCCTGGATGCCTTCTAGTTCCCCCTTTTCCTCCTGGGACTGCTGGACCTCTCCAGGACACAGCAGTGGAACAGCCTCCTGCCACTCCCGCAGTTGCTCCTCCAGGTGTGCCACCAGCAGTACCTGTTCCTTCTCTTGCTCCTCCAGTCTCCTTTTCTCCAGCTGCAGCTTGGCACTCTGCACATCTTGTTCTCTGTGCAGCTGGTCCAACCCCTGGAACACCTGGACCTTCTCCACCTGCTCATGGCTGTTGAGCTCTTGGAGCCTGCGGAGCTCCTCTCTGATGCGAGATAAGCTCTCTTCTTCTTGCCTCCTCTGATGCTCAAGTCCCTGCTGCTCCCTGAGCCTCTCTTCCTCAAACCTTTCCTTCTCGGCCAGCAGGTCCTTGAGTTTGTTTTCAATGTGGAAGCTGCGGCGTTTGAGGCTTTCCTCCTGTTTGCGGATCTGCCGCTGAACGAGCTCTGTTTCTTTGCGCCTGGTTTCCACCTCCTGCTGCATTCGCTCTAACTCTGCCTTGTCCGATTTCTGCTTTTCCTCCATCTCTTCGATGAGTTTTCTGCAATGTAAATGCTGATTGGTCATTATTTGATCACTACATTCAGCTTAGTCCAACTTCCCCCTAAGTGGACTGGTTCTGAAAACACACAGGCAACATAAAACCAAACCTTTCATTAGAATAAATGAAGACGAAGTGCTTCTTGTTCATGTTTTCAGAAGCATGCTATTTCATTTTCATTTGATTTTAGTTACTGTCCAGTATATTGTCTGCCTAGTCTCCTAAAGTAGCTTCTGGTATCATATCTTTGTGAAGTCTAAAATCACGTGTAATGCAGGGCATAATTAAAAAAAAAAAACCCACCAAGCTCAAAGAGAAAAACACCCATCTTAAATTTAAATGTGGCTCATTTTATTCAGCCCAAGGACTAAACTACAAGGTGACATTGAGTAAATATTTTATTTTTGCTTTCTTCAAGTCACTGGAGTTGAATAACAAAGTCAAAATAATGGACAGTAGGCTGTTTCAGTTCAAAAGAGAATCCTATATGGTCTTTAGCATTTAGTCACTGGTTCTGAACAAACTGTATTTATCAAAATGGCCTCCAACATTGCAAACAACTGGAGTCTGTTAGGATGCTTGGACACACAGTGTCACGTGCTATGTTTTCTCTACAGGTGCAACTGATGCTTACCTGGGACAAGAATAGCTTGGGAAGTTGGAGTGGTTTCCACAGCAAGAGCATGCAATGACAGTGCTTGAAGTTGACCTCCATCCCCTGACACCCAACCTCCTGATTAAACTCATTCCCATGAGCTGTTTAACTCCAAATTCTAGAAATATATAATTATGTTTTAGATCATCTCTAGCTTTAGCTTCTTCTTCAGTGCCTACCTACCCTTCATCTACTTCGTAACTTGTTAAATAGAGCACGGAAAAGAGAAACTATGATTGAATTAAACATGTCTCAATTAAGTGGTTGTACACACACACACACACACACACACAAATGAAAGTAAGCAAAGAAGAAAAAAAAATGAATTACAGATGGGGAAAACACCAATAGCCTACAGAAAGTAAAGATGTTTAAAAGGACAGTGGTGCTGTTTGTGGTGGTGTATGCCTGCTTTCCCAGCACGTGGCAGGCAGATGCACCAGGCCAGCCTAGGCCACATACTGAAACCCTATCTAACAGCAAGCAAAGCAGTTCAAAAAAAAAAAAAAATCAAAGGCTGGGGATAGAGCTCAGTGGAAAATCATTGGTCTAAGACAATGGTTCTCAACCTCCCTCATGCTGTGACCCACATGTTGTGGTAACCCCACTATAAAATTATCTCTTTGCTACTTCATAACTGTAATCTTGCTACTGTTATGAATTATAATGTTAATATCTGTGTTTCCTGATTGTCTTAAGCAACCCTTGTGAGAGCATCAATCGACCCCAAAAGTGGTTGTGACCCATTGCGCTTACATGTAGGCAACATATGAGTAAATTTAAAATAAAATAAATAAATCTTATTTTTAAAATTAAGTTGAAGATGGACTATGACAAAGGAAAATGCTTTTTATCTTTTAATCTTTATAAACTCATGACTTTTTAAAACCCCAAGAATACTAAGACTTGGCGTTAATTTCAACAGAGCTCAGATATTTAATTTACTGACTATTTCCCTTTCTCACAAGTATTTGAAGATGAACTGCTGTGAAAATTTAAAGGTAACATAAAGTCAATCCCTCGTAAGAAACTACTTACAGGCATCAGACATGGAAACAGCAGAGTCGGAGCGAGAGCGAATGATGGAAGCAGAAGAGGTGAACTCAGGGAGGACACTAACAGAGCAGTCAGACGCAGCCTCACAGGCAGGCCTCACAGCTTACCTTTTACTTTCTAGTTTTTCAAGTTCTTCACGCTGCTGTCTCTCAAATTCAAGTCTGATGAAATCAAATGAAAAAAGTCACTTCTATGAAGGAGCTTTTCTCTCTGCACACAGAATCACACACTGGAGCACAGATTTGACTATTACTTTAATTACTATGGATTAGCAAGTTTAAAATGCATTCTTTGCTCTATCACTATGATTAGAAATTAGATATAATTTAGGTGTTTGAACTTAGACTGAAGAGAACAGATTTGATTTGAAAGAAAATAAAATATCACTGTAGTTAAAAAAAAAAGAATTAAACACAACTTCTAAATGCTAAGCATGTCTATTCCATGCAGCTTAGTCACTGGTGAGTAAGTAAGAAGGAGAATCTACCTTAGACAGATGGGTCCTTTTATAGGGAAAAGACTGCCAGGGAGGTAGAGGGGAGAGAGCACAGACATCCATTAGGAAGACAATTCAATAGGAGAAAACACCAGGAGAAAAGCAGTAAGGTACTTAAGAGACAACGGTCATGCATTGATCAAAAGGTCTTTTTGCAAATATCACATTTCCCAGGAAGTGCATGAAGCAAACACTGCAGAAAGTTAGCCTGCTGTTTCTCACACATCTGTGACAGTGGTAGGACCTCTGACTCCTGAGCACAAGCAGTTACTGTGCTCTATCATAGTTCCTCTACTCAGAGGCTCAGACGTGCTATGAGACTACACAAAGTCACAGAGCTGTAACAAAATAATGGAAAATAGGCCATGAAGAATTTGCAAATTCTAACATAAGCAATTTCCCTAACAATAAGAAATACGTTTCACTTTTTCAGTTTAACACCATGAATTATAATCCTTGAACATACACATTTCCCTGCAGTAAATGGCAAGACACCGTTGCAAAGCTGAGCTCGGGAACCATGCACCATAAACTATTTTCCTTAGACCATGTGCAAATCCAAACTGGCAACACAGATGCTTTTACAACAGGTATCTAAGATATGTGTCAAAGGGATCTCTTCTCTCTTGGCTAATGTGGAGAGGACGGTGTCTGGTGGCCTTTCTAAGCAGAACTGTACATGCATGACACAAGAACAGTCATGCCGACCTGCACAGGCTGTCTCCTTTGTTCTCCCAGAATATTAAGGCTGTAAACTGTATCTCAAATTATAGACCAGGAACCCAAAGCCTGGATGTCTCCAGAACTTGCTCCAGATCACAGTGCTGGAGCTGGCATTTGAACCCACAACAATCTGCTTCCAAAATGCACCCTCTGCTGACTCACTCTGCAAACTTGTTCAGATTTGTGATATAAAATACAAGAACTTATCTCTTAAGTTTTACATTATAAAAAAAATAGACCTACAATCAAGATAATGATTCCCATTTATGGAAAAGACTAAAATTTAAAAATCATTAACAACCACAAAACCTATTTGGTGCTCACTCAAGTAAGGTCATGATTCAGAGAAGAGCAACATGATTCAGGGATCCTACTTTAAACATGAGGGGACAGGAACTGTTGCTGATGGCATATAACTTCTGTCAGATAGTACATATTTACTAATTATACTTTAAAATGTATCCCTTTCCACAATCCATAATTATTTCAGATAGCATACCACAATAGACTGTAAAATATAAGTGTGAGCCTGTCAGTATCTCTAGACAGTGTACCAAATATAATTGTATGTAAATGTAGCTACATTTTAAAGCAAGTACAATTCACCCTCTTATATTACTGGGATTATCATGGCCCCAAATGCTAATTTTCCAAAAGTTATAATTAAAAAGAAAACTATAAAAGGATGTAATTTTTGCAGCTGTTTTTAATATTTTAAAATGACATTTGGAGGTACACATTCTGTGGCAGGTCCAACAGAAAAGCACAGCATACCATCTATTTTTACCAGGAATAAACTCTCTTCATTAAGAGACAGCTAGCATTTTTAGGTATAACTGCACATCTTGCAATTTACATTCCTGTTATCATCAGCAATAGAAAATGAGAGGGCTGGAGTTTCTCAGTTCACACCATTACTTTGAAAGTGAGACTGTGATTATTTTTTAAAAAAAGAGAAGAAATGAAGAAAAATTTAAATAGGCAAAACCCATAAATATTTGCATCCTTATGCTATTGTAATACTGATTAGTTTAGTACCTCTAACGTCAGGCCCCAAAGTAGAAAGAGACAGCTGCCCATGTCCAGCCAACACTTTAGCTGGCAGCTACAGTGGTACAGGCAAGGGCTGTGAGAGAATGAACTCCAGACTACAGCACATATACAAGGGAGTTCTCATTTGGCAAAGGCTCCTGCCTGGATATCGGACTCTATTGTCTGAACAGGTATATGGTTAAGAATAAGGAAAAAAATATGTATCATTGCATAGACTTGGATTTTCTATTAGCAACTTGTAGTAAAGGAGGTCTAGTTATGTAGGTTGTAACTATGTACGTTACCAAATTGATGTGCAACTCATACACAGGGCCTTCCTGAAATTCTTATTATATTAGACCCCACATTTTCTTTGTGTATTGGGTTTTACAAAGTATTGTGTCTCTACTCACAGATACCTACTGAACACACCCTGGCCAGTGCCTGGAGGCTTAGTGACATTCTTTAGTAAAAATCCTGGTAAGAAAATCCTAGAACTCAGTGGAAGATGATTGTTCTTTTTCTGGTCAATTACAGGACATTAAAATCTTTCCTCAGGGCAACAGCGCTCATATAAATGTTCACTGGAAAGCTAGGAAAAGGAACTTTATAGAGACGATGGACAGGAATTTCTAACCCCTCCATGTTACACACTGGGTTATCCAACAGTGGTCACTATACAATTGCAATCTAAGGGTGTTAGGCAAGAAGGGTGTGAGGCAGGGGTACGAGTTTCAACATAACCTGGAAAGTTACCCTCTAGCTAAGTCAGAATGTGAATATCCAAAGCATCCTGGCAAGGATTTCCTAAATAAACTCTCACACCTTAATCTAGAACATGTCCATAGACTTCCAGATTGTAAGATATTTCCTGCAAACTGAAGATAGCCAAAAATAACACTTTTTTTTTTAAAAAAAAAAAGCAGTGTAATTTGATGCCATAAGCATTTTGTGTAGTTCTTCCAAGGCTACTTCGGTTAACAGTCCTGTAACCTGATTAAGTCAAATTCAAACACATCCAAGTCAGTCCAGTTCTAGGTCAAGATCAGAGGCTTGGTGAAGTGGGTATAGACACAAAAGGCATTGCCTTCAGCTTGGCACATACCTCTACACTCTAGCCATCCCTGCAACAGTAGAGTCCAGCAGTATTGGAGAAGAGTACACGAGAAGCCCCTCCTAAGAGGAGCTGGGAGGAGAACTCACCTCGTCTAGCTCTCCACCCATTCTCACACGGACCTTGGAATTCCACTGACCTCTTTAGACAAACCATGGTTGAAGAGGTGAGGGTCCTTAGAAGTTAAAATTTATCTGTTAGTTCAAAACCCACTCTTCCTGTTCAACACACTAGAACAGTGTGTCACAGGCAATCTTCCTACGCTTCCTTCAGCCTCATGTTGACCACAGCAAAGCTTTACCAAGCTTCTGACATGTGGGCAGTGCTGGGGAGAAAGGGGAAGGACAGAGTGTGCTTGCACAGTTAAGGGGTCCCGAGTGTATGGAAACGGCATGTGCAGACCACAAGGACAACCATGAGCCGGAACAAAAGGTGGCTTTGACAGGGTGTCAGGGAGAGGTACCATGGCTATGGGGATAGAGAGAGTGAAGCCTTGCAGAGGAGGGGCTGCTGAAGGTTGACCTTGAGAAAGAGAATTATGATGCCCAGGATGCACTGAATAGGGATGAATTACGAGAAAAGGGAAACAGTGAAGGAGAACATATATAAGGGACAGCAGGAAGCAGGAACTGGCCTCAGCTGTCCACTGTACAAAGTGCAGCAGGAATCAAGGTTGCTAAAGACAGGGCAGCAGCACTGCAAACAGAACGGCCAGGTCAAGGTAGCATTTAGCTCTGTGGATCAGACTGGCCTTGAACTCAGAGATCCATCTGCCTCTGCCCACTAAGTACTGGGATTAATGGTATGTACTATGATGTCCAGCTCTAAGCTTTCCATTAATTCCTTTCATAAGTTGGAAGTTTAGCAGGTGAGTTCTTACCCTGAGTTCACCACTCCCTTTATTTCATTTAACAGCAGGTTTTCTTTAAACTTCTTTTTGGTGTTCCTTTTCTCCTCAAACTACATCTGGTCATTTTCCCTTGCTCAGCTTGCTCCTTTTACTTACAGAACCACATAAATGTGGCTGCTAACAACCAATGGCACAGTCAAAGCCAGGCTGTCTAGAAATCCCCTTTACCAAGTCTCTTAATCCATAACTCAACTTAGCCTCAGACTGATTTTTTTGGGGGATATGGGAGAAAGCATCCACATTCTTTGGCAAAATATCATAAGAATGGTTTCTAGGCCACATACTAACATTCTTCTCTGAAACTCCTGAGCTGGGCGGGCCCCACAGTTCAAATCACCCTTGGCAACACTGGCTTCCATGTTCCTTCTAGTATGATCCACTAGGCCCACTTTTTCTAATACAAAGTCCCAAAGTCAGCATTTCTCCAAACAAAAGCAAGGTCAGATCTATTACCCAGTCCCTGGTACCAACTTCTATCTTAGCTTTGGTTTCTATTGCAATAAAGTGAAACCATGACCATGGCAACTATTATAAAGGAAAACATTTAATTGGAGCTGGCTTACAGTTCAGAGGTTTAGCCCATTCATGGTGGGAAGCATGTTAGCATGCAGGCAGACATGGTCCTGGAGAAGGAGACATGAGTTCTATATCTGGATCGGCAGGCAGTAGGAAGAGAGAGTTTTACTGGGTCTAGCAGGGCTCTTAAAATCTCATAGTCCACCCCCAACAGGCCACCTACCAATGATAAAGCGTTCAAATATATGAGCCTATTGGGGACATGCCTATTCAAACCACCATGTTCCCCTTAGCAGGTGTCTTAGGGTTTCTGTTGCTGTGAAGAGACACCACGAGTACAAGTCTTACAGAGGAAAATATGTAATTGAAGTGGCAGCTTAGTTCAGAGGTTCAGTCCATTATCATCATGGCGAGGAGCATGGCAGCATGCAGGCGGACATGGTGCGGAGAAGAAGCTGACAGTCTTACTGAGAGTAGCAGGAGCACAGCAGCCCGAGAGGTCACCCTCACAGTGGCACTCATCTCCTAATAGTGCCACTCCCTCTGATCTATGGAGGCCGGTTACATCCAAACTAACACAGAAGGCGATGCAGACACGTGCGCCTCTGTGTTTCTGATGGCATTTTGGGAACTCTGTGCCCAACCAGTCTGTATCTACTCCCAGACTTCCTTTGCAATGGCTTTCCAACTCCCCAGTACAACAAGCTCCTTGTCTTCCCTGCTTTTAAT